GTATTCAAAAGTGTGTAACATTATGACAACTGGAAAATTTAAAAAATAGAGAAAGTGGGTCTGTAAAACAGTAAATAAATTGAAAGGCAATTTAATGAACTTAAAAAAAAAAATGATCCCCAAACACTGGGGAAATGGCTCAGTAAATGCTCCCTATGTAGGCACGAGGACCTGCGTTTGAACTCCAGGACCATGTAAAATAAGCCAACATGACGGCACGTGCTTGAATCTCTGCTCTGGAGAGACAGAAACAGAAGGATCCCTAGAGGTGGCTGGCAGGCTAGACTAGCAAACTGAGCGAGTGCCAGGCCAGTGAAAAATCCAGGGATGTGGAGCTAGAAAGATGGCTCCATGGCTGAAAGCACTGGCTGCTCTTTCAGAGGACCTGGGTTCTAGCCCCGGCACTCACAACCATCTTCGACTCAGTCACAGAGGATCTCATGTCCTCTTCCGGCCTCTGCAGTCACCAGGCATGCACATGGTGCACAGACTTCCATGCAGACAAAACACTCATATACGTTAAAAACTAACGAACAAACAAAGTCAAAAGGACAAAGTGGTCAGTGCCTGCGGAACAACACTTGAGGCTGTCTTGTGCCCTCCATGTGCAGGTGCACACAGGCACACCTCCTCGCAAACATGTACACATGCACACACACACACACACACACACACACACACACACACACACACACAAAGTGATCTCTCACAATACACATTTTAAACATTCACCCCACTGTTCTGCATAATGGCCACAGACTTGGTGTAGGAACCTTCTTCGTCCCTTACATATCACTATCTCAGGCGAGTGGGCGTGGCTGACCACGGAAACCCTGTGTCAGTGTCACCAGAAACTGGGGAGTTGGTGACAACAGCAGAGCCATACCTGCATTGCTTAGAGCAGGGCATCTTCCTCAGCCCTGCATCTCCTGGAGAGGCCTGGCACATCCAGGGACTGACAAGAGTTCTGGCTCGTGACATCACACCCAGACAGGGACAGGTGTGACTGCGGTGTGCTCTACCTCTCCTTGAGTTGGGGCCTGTACGGTCCCTGCTGGCCCCGAATGTTGAAAGATAGGCTGGGAAAAGAGACCCAGTGTGTTCACAGTTGATCTTGAACAATGGCTGATAAAATCAATGTAAATTTTATGGATGGAAACGATGCAGACAGCACGGAGAGCACATGGAGCTTCTCTGCAGTTTCATGCCAGCATGTGAGATTTAGGGCAGCAGAAGCTAGCCACCCTATTTCATTCTTATCCGTATCAATGCGACTACCTGGCATGTGACAATTTTCTGACTCCTTTTACAGCATTTATGATTTTTATTTTCTTTTAAAGGACATTATGACCCAAGTTAACCTCAAGCTCACGATCCTTCTGCCTCAACTTTCCAAGTGATGGGATTACGTGCTTATACTACCATGCCTCACTTTTATTCACATATCGAAGTACTGAGCTTCAGGCCTGTGTCAGCACCACTGGACATAGGCCTATGCTACTGGCTTTCACGTTGAAATTGTTCTGAGCGTATTTGCTTACTTGTGATTTGATATAAACATGGAAATCAACCCGTCTAGGGCCAAAAGCACAAAAGAACTCTCCCACTTTACTTCGAGTTGCCCTGGCTGAGAATATAAACTGTATACCATCTATTAAAACCTACATTTTTTGAGACAACACCTGTCTCAAAAAAGTTTAAGCCAAGGGTGACCTTAAACTCCTGAACTTCCATCTCCATCTTCCAAGTACTGAGGTCACAGGTGTATGGCACCATACCTGACTTATGCGGTGCTGGAAATCCATCCCTAGGCTTCAGACATGTTAGGCAAGTATATAGGTAACCATATGCCTAGCCTCAAGTCTCCTTTTTCTTTGCTTCTTTGCTGTTTTTAGGGGTCCTCGGGCTTGGCTATGTCCTCCATATCCATGTGTCTGACACTTCGTCCCTAAGTCATAAGTCAGTTTCCTGTAGAGTTGCCTGGGTGCTGAGGAACTGGTCTCACAGTAGATTAATCACACACGAACTTCTAGATTTGTGGGTTAAGGAGAGGGGGCGACTGGTGGGCAGCACTCTCTGATGTGCTCTGGTGCCATGATGGGGTGCTATCTACCATGGTATGGTTCTAGCACCGTGCTCTGAACTGTGAGCCAAAGAAACACAGGAGCTTTGTAAGACACTCCGCCTGTGGAGGCGTCTAAGGGATTCATCACCGTTTCCGCAAGCCATGCTAGGGCTCCAGGCATGGAGTCTTGTTCTCGTCTTCCCTGCCAGAGTGTGCTCTCTGCTGAGGCACAGCCACCTCTGAAGTGTTTCTCTTCACAAGTGGCTGATGCCCATGGTCATTTCTCACTTTCCTTCAAGTCCTTTTTACAAAAGATGTCTCAAACCATTCCTTCCATTTCCTGGGACAGGTCCTCCGTGTGACCGTGGGTGACGGACTCAGGCGCAGAGCAGGGACTGCTCCAGCCTTCCTGTATTTCAGGCCTTAGAGCATCTCTAATGCCACTCTGCCAAGGTTAGACTGAGGGATTCAAGCACCCAGCTTCTTAGCCATATAATCCTACCTGCTTTTGAAAACAAGAATGGCTTCTGAATTTGTCAAAAAACTTTCTCATTGGTATTCGCCAAAGCAGAACAACGGATACGGTGAATTTTATCTATGTATTTACTAACTTTTTTTTTAATCCCTTTAGTTTTTTGAGACAGGGTTTATCTGTGTAACCCTGGCTGTCCTGAAACTAGCTCTGTAGGCTAGGCTGGACTCGAACTCACTAAGATCCACCTGCCTCTGTGTCCAGAGTGCTGGGATTAAAGGTGTGCATCACCACCACCCTGCCTAACATTTAATCAGTCTCATATGGTAGATTAGGTCCCATTTGATCGTAGGGCACTATTTTGAAAAGTAAACTAGGATTCTGTTTGTAAATCTTTCCATAGGGTTTTTATTTATTTTTCACTACATTTATTATGTATTATTTATTTATTTATTATATATTATTAATAAATATTATTATGTATTATTAATATTATTATGTATTATACTAATACTACTACTAATAAAAAACTAATAATAATAACTAATTTTTATGTATTAATACTAATATTATCATGTATTATTTATTATTATGTATGTGTGCATGTGCTCCTGTGCTAAAAGACACACACAGAGCTTAAAGGCTATCTTGTGGAGTCAGTTGTCTCTACCCTGAAGGTCCCTGGGATTGAACTCAGGCCTTTAGGCTTGATGGCAAGCCCCTTTCCTCACTGCACCATCTCACCTGCCCCTCATTAGGGTTTTTGAATTCCTGTCCATACATTGGATTATGTTAATGTATCTTCATCCAAAGCTGCTCCTGATGGCAAGTAGAAGGCTGCTCTTATGTGAGTTTCCAGCAGTCCAAACAGTGCTGGGACATCTCTGTAGCTGAAGGTTAAGTCCATCTCCCAAGGAAACTTGTTCCCAGGGACTGTACTAAGTGGGAGTGAGGGTAAGTGTCACTTTCTTAAATATCTGCACTTGTTTATGGAATCTGGTCTGTTTTAACTTTCTTTCTCCATGGGGGCTAGCTTTTTAAAGTACTTTTAAACTATTTATTTGCATAGAATTACATATAATACCTTCTTTGAGCTCTTACACACAGTCTACTCAGTAGGTATTCTCTGTGTCTTTTCTTTTGTGGACTTTTGTTTGCATGTTCTATCTTAAGTTAATAATTGCTTCCCTACTTTTTGACTTTTTTTTTCTTTCAAAAAGAAGCATTTTTCTGGGTGGTGGTGGTGGCACACTCCTTTAATCCGAGCACTCGGGAGACAGAGGCAAGAGGATCTCTGTGAGTTTGAGGCCAGCCTGGTCTACAAAGCAAAGTCCCAAGGCAGCCAGGGCTGTTACACAGAGAGACCCTGTCTTGAAAAAAAGAAAAGAAAAGAAAAAAAAAAAGAAAAGACAATATTTTGAAATCCAGAGGTCCTTCGGCATCTTGCGGGGTCTGCGGCAGAACTCTGCCACAAGCTTGGACCCCCATAAAAATGACGTGCTTCTCACATCCTTCCACATACATTTTTTAAAGACAGGTTCTCTCCAGGTAGGCCAGGCTGGCCTCAGGCTTATCACCCTCCTACTTCAACATCCCGAGTGCCAGAACTATAGGCCTGCGCCACCAGGCCTGTGCCACCAGGCCTGCTTCCTCACACAAATCTGTGCAGCCACCTCTAGGCGACTATGACCCCTGACATAGTGCAGCTGCTACGTCAATCATCGTCATGCTGCATTGTCTGGGGAGATGGTTCATGTTCGGCAGACATGAAATTCGGGGGGATATTTTCTATCTGAAGCTGGCAGAACCTGGGGACCTGCAGACCTACCTGCTGTAGAGCTACCTGCAGATCTACCTGCTGTAGAGCTTTCTGCTGTGTTTCATTTCTACACATACCCTTTCAACTTCTTCCCCGTATCTGCTCATTCTCAGTTTATGTGTTCTGCGTCCCCACTTAGGATATTGCCTTGTTTCAAAAACTCTTTTTTGACATTTAAACTGAATCCGTCACCTTTCCTCTCACTTGGGCTGTGCCCACAGACGTGCCCAGGTGTCTAGAAAAGTTCAGTTTGTTTTGTACCTTTCTCTTCCCAGCCCCCGAAACTATATTTTATATAATTTATTTATATAATAAAATATATTACTATATCTTATGTGGATAGATGTTTCACCTCCATGTACATCTATGTAACTCATGTGTGCCTTGTTCCTGGTGTCTGTGAATGCCAAAAATGGGCATTAGATAGATCCCTGAAACTGGAGTTACAGATGGTTGTGAGCTGCAATGTGGTTGCTGGGAATTGAACCTGGGTTCTCTCCAAGAGCAGCCAGTGCTCTTAAGCATTGAGCCCTCTCTCCAGTCTCCTGTGGGACACATGTCTAAATGTGTGGACTTTACCCATTGCGCAGGGAAGGCTCTGGAATGAGACTGGAGTGGGAGGCGAGGCCAGGAACCCCAAGGCGGTTGTTTCACGAATGTTTTAATAAGTTTGACTGTAGAGAGCTCAAGCTCTTGGCTCACCCCAGCTGTCCCCCAGCTCTCCCTCCTGGTTCATCTCTGACCCTCTCTGCTTCCTTTGCTCAGCTTTTTACAGACTTAGATAAAGTCTGGGACAAGTGTCCTGGCTTCGTGACACAAAGTGTGTGGGGATGGGGCTGGAGAGCTACAGAGAATAGGAACAGGGCATGAGGCATCCCACAGGGGTGGCGTCTCACACCAACAGGCTCACCAGCACGGTCACAAAAACGCTAAGGGTGGCTCTCAGGGATGGAGAGAGCGAGGGGAACAGCTGAGGAGGAATGGGTGTGGTATTCACATGATAATGAATCCAACTCAAAAAAAAGGAGACATTGGCATACACCCCTGGGTACAGGGGTTGGGAGCACCCGCGGCCCCAGCTAACTATTCCAATCTGCAGCCAGGTCTGGTTCAGCTTGCACACCAGTGGGCCACCAGAGTCACCCTGTGAAGGAAGAGGGGCTGTCTGTGATCTACTAGTCCAGGTATGGCCCTCGGGTGCAGGGTGGCCTATGTCCTACTTCCCCCTGCCCCCCTTACAAAGTCCCCTGTCTGACTGCCAAAGAGCCCTGAGCCTCAGCACTGAGATCTAGCTCAAGTGTGTGAGTGTGTGGTGGTGACACACTGCCCGGATCCAGCCACCCCAGCAG